GTATATTTGAGTAACAGTAACAGTAGTGATTATGTAAATTATACCGTGAAACAAAATAACTGGGAAAAAAGCTAGATAAGCATATGTCAGCAATAGACTTCCACAACTACCATTCTGTTTGAGCAAAGATGAAGTTTTAAATTTTCTTTTTTTATTTGTTTGTTTTATCAAAATCTATGTTAAATTGGCTGGCACTGCTTTTTGCACAGGATTAGAATGTATTAACAGTTTCCACAGAATCGTTTTGTTCTCTTTGAAATTGTACTTTTTACAAATGCACCTTTCACAGAATGAACACAATGAATAGCTGCTGCCTAAGAATAACATAAGGCAGGTATTACTCGGTTCATCCTGATTATTAATTTTCATGCATTGGCTTTGAATACAATACATTTGTTCCTTAGGTACATCGCTAAGTCAGTGTCAGTCTAAAATACTGTAGTCATCTACCATCTTGATGTTTTAAAGTGGACAAAATATCCAGATTCCCTTGGAAATGAAAAGCGAGAACCAAAAAGAGTTATTAATTTTATTTTTCCTTATAAAGAAATAAAAAAACTGTTCAGAGTGAAGATTACATAAAACACTGAAGGCAGAGAGATTAATTCCAAGACATAAAGAGCAGCAGTGGCACATACTGCACAATGCAATGACTGTTTTTAATAGTGTAAGCCAACTGACAAAAATCCTGCAGTCTAATGTATTTCTTAACTGCACACAGTTAATGCTTCCTGTATGTTTGATTTGCTTTAGGCTATCTTTTAATGACAGTTAACTCTTGTGCTAGTTTAACTGGACATACATTGTGTCTTCTTCCATTACAGTGACTAGGGGGTTTTATTCTCACAATTATTTAGAAGGTGTAAGATACCAATTAAAAGATCATAGATGAAGAAGAGAGTTTCAGGAAGAGTGAGTACTTTCTGAATTCCAAGTCAGAAACATACTCTCAGAATATTTGTCATCCAGCTAGTCAAGCAAACTTTAGACTTGGGATTTGTCTTTCTTGCATTAATGGTCTATATTCACATCCTATCGCCTATCTTCAGGTACCTTCAGTGGCTAGATGCCACTTCCATGGATGTCATAAGTTAATACCATGGAGGGGAATGAGGGTTGAAAGATTTGCTGTAAATTCATGCTTTTCACAGAGAAGACAAAGGGAATGACAGAGTCAGAAAACCAATAAAAGATGTGGCTGCCTAGCATTATGTGTCCTGCACTGCCAGTGCCCAGCCTCAAGAATACAAAGTTAAATGGAGAAAAAAAAACATCCTGCCCTTCTAAGCAGATGTTGGCTATGTTGCAGGAAAAAAATGCATGAATTGTTGGGCCAAAAGAAGAACAAAATAAGATCTTTTTAGTAAAAAAACCCCACACATTTTTAATTCTAAGAAAAAACCAGCAAATTTCAAAATTTTGTACAGACTGTTCATTCAAAGAAATGACAGGTATGGTGCCACTCCGACCTCCATGTATCACAGGCATCTCATTCGGCTCTCCTATCAGACTACATGTACCCCTCTAAAATATTAATAGTGTTCATAGTTAGATCTACAAAATGAGAGAGCAATCTAAAGCAATTGTTGAAGAAAGTCCTAAAGATTGGACTTTCGGACTAAACTCTGATGAATTGTCAAAGATTTTTCAGCAAAAAAATACAAAAAAAGTGGAGTAAAGCAGATGTCTTCAATGCATTTTTGTGTTGTTTAAATTTCAAAGCTTCATCAAGTTAAAATTTTGGTGGGAATTTTTCAACCAATCCTTTTTGAGTAATCAGACCTTGACAAAGGGATAAAAAGTATTAACATCAAAATATCAGAGTAATAAATGAACTTGTTACTAAGCTCCAGCTGCATTAGGCTTTTAAGAACTGTTCCTATTTGCAGGCATAGTCGTCTCTCATAGTTTAATTTTTCTAGCTAAAATAGCTATAAACCTGATCAAATGCAGTCTGTAAATTCCTAAAAAGAATTCTCTGAAAGTTTTTTGCTTTTGAGCATGCATGACTTGACCTAAATTCTATGGGGTCTTTTTTTCACTCCCTAATTTTTCATGAGACAGACTGGCCAGTGGTTAGAATTGGAGTCTGGATCCTTTTTGCCTAAATCCATGTACTCAAATGTTCATCAGCTCTCTGCTGTAAACTCATCTCAAGAGAGGAATGCTGGCAACAGTGCTAAATATATCACCAGTCGCACCCTGCTACAAGGCAGAGAGAACCCTATGACTTAACAGCTAATGTCTAGGGATGTTATTTGAAGTTTTATAATAAGTATAATGAAGTTTTGGAATTTCATTGCATAGGATTATCCATCTTTAAAATTTATTTAAGAGGGTGACTATTAGTGCAGTCAAGCCAAACGCAGATCAATTCATAAAGCTGCAAGTGATGAATTCTGAGCAGTTGTGCAAGGGTATTACAGAGATTCGCCCCTTTCCTCTCCTCTGAGCTTCTTATAAGAGTAATGAAAACTCTTGGGAATTTCTTTGCTCTTTTTTGTGGAAGTCTTATGGCTACTAGGTCAGAAAGAGGCAGCGCTCAAAATTTTGCTGGTAGCAGAGAAGCTGTGTTAAATAGTCAGAACGTGAAAAAAAAAAAACAACAAAGCATAACCTTAATTAAGTTAACATCCACATCTTTAAACATAAAAGTGCATAGAAATAACTTCATAGCAGAAAAAGAAATATTTAACCTCGCCATTTTCCTGTTGACACCTATCAAAACCGCCAATAACTTTGATGTTTTCCTCGTATTCTTACAATCTTCTCCCAGGAGGAATGGCATTACACATAAACGTGATACCCGGTGGTATGAAACACAGCCGAAACACAGCCAAAACACAGTTTGTTTTTTTTTTTCTTGGCTCTAAGCTACGTGGAGCACTTAAGAGCAGTTAAATAGGAGTTACTTCTTATCCATGCATGAATTCTTCCATGCTGGCCAAAGGGACCAGGTTTGTCCAGCCTGGAGAAGAGGTTGAGGGAAGATGTAATTCTACTATGTAAAGAAACGTTATAGAGAAGAAAAAAACACATTGTCTTTTTCAGGGGTGCATAGCAAAAGCACAAGAGGCAACAGCTACAGCTTGTGGGAGGGAGAATGCTGACTAGACATACAGAAAATACTTTGCACAGGGAGGGTGGTGCAACAGTAGGCCAGGGAGGTGGTGTAACCTCCCTCCTTGGAGATATTCCAAACTCAGCTGGACACGTCCCCAGGCAGCCTGAACTAGCTTTGAAGTTGGCCCTGCTCTGAACAAGGGGTTGGACTAGATGACAGCCAGACATCCTTTCCTACTAAGTTGGTGGGGCTCTCGCCTAAGCTTCCACCCCTTCTGAGAGATTTCAGAGTTATTTTTTGTCCCAACCAGGTTTAGTTTGCTTGCCCCAAGTAAACGAACACAGGTATCTCCCTCCTTCCCCATCTCAAGGAGCTGCTCTTCTGTTAAGTGGATCAGTGTGGTGTCAAGAGGAGAGGATTGGGGCTGGCACCAGGGCTCCAGAGGATCAAGAGAGTCGCTGAACCCGTGGTAGCCCTGAGATGTGGACTCCCTTAGGAGATACCTAAGCCCTGCCTCCTCCACCTTTATAAAAAGATAACTTTTTCTGCATCTTTTAAGATAGCCGTAATTCAGTTTTAAAGACCACGGTGACCTTTTCCACAGGGAAATCATTAATTATGTGTATTTTCAGTTGCATTAATGGAAACTCAAATCTTAGCTGCTCACAAAGGTCGCAGTTGTCTCTTGATGAGGAAGATGTGGAAAATTACCCTCATTCACTCACACTCAGTAAAAGTAACAAGTAGAACCATATGTTAACACTGACTTACTTCATCTGGACTGCGCAGATTGCTGTGCAGTATAATGTATAGGCTAATGAACAGTAATTTACAGCTAATGAAATTCAAGAAACAGGCTATTTTTCTAGCTTACGCACAGACATCATCAGTGCGTCCCGTTATTAATTAATTAATTAATACAAATGCTGGGCATGCCAGCTAAGCTGATTCTACCATAATATACACTTAATAAATTGATACACATTTTTCTTATTTCAGAATTAACTTTTTTTTTATTCTAGTGAAATCTTGTACCCATGCGCCTTTAGTAAAATACAAATGAAGGCACCTGCCTGCAAGAAGTAGAGCGGTGAAAGGATAACAAAGCATGGCTGGTAATTCCTTGTAGCCAAGAACTGGAGTTGAGGTTTAAGTTGAATTGTAATAGACAATCTCTTGCCCTCCATGACTTAAATTATAATGATTTTGACAATTCATATATGCTGAATACCTTCTTTTATAATCTTTGAAGAAGTTCAGAAGGAGGAGTAGGAGTCATCATCTTTCAGCAGTAAGGAGCTGAAGTTATCTAACGTTGCTGTGAGCTCAGAATTGCTAGTCGCAGAGCCATTATTTAAAGAAAAATATTGAATAGCCATTTGCCCAGCTGGGTGCATTAAGCGGGTTAAGTAGTTCCGCATAGTCTTCTATGCGGAAACTTCTTGTGTTCTATGCTTCTATGTTGTAAACACCAATATTTGGGTAAAATATGCATAAGGAAAGAGTCTTTGATAATTCAAGACTCCCACAGGTGATGATAGCATCCTGACGGTCTAGCCTGTCTTTACAAAAAAGGTCTGTGTACCAGATAAGGTAACTAAGCCATATTTAAAGATTACAAGGACCTTTTCCATAGGGAAGCCTTTAAACATAGAAATTACGGCACAACAGAACTGGAAGAAAAAAGACTAAATCCTGGTGCAATGCACAATCCTGGAGTAGTTCAGATGAAAAAAACATTAATAACTTTCAGATGCAGGAAAGGATTTCTGACGGAGTCAAAAAACAGCCAGTCTCAGACAGATAATGTTTATATGATCCCATCAGCGAGGCCCCAGCTGAACATTTTGCAAAATGAAACAATATTGGTGTACATTCTAAGTTGTAATTCAGCATGCCCGTATCAGATTTACTGTCACTATAAACAGGAAGCTACATGGAGGTATCTGTAGCTTTTTGGATGCCCAGAATTTTAAAACACTTCGCTTCTCCTCCTCTTGTGAGATTGCTTTGGTATTTGAAAAACTTACAAGAAATGGTCAGTTCTGTCATGTTTTGCTCACTTGTTTCCAAAAGCACTGGCAAAAGCTGAAAAATTAAAACCTACCCTTATTTCTACTGCAGGGTTTTATTTAGGTGCCCATGCTACACAGATTTGCACACATTGTTGTAACATGCCACAGAGAATCAAAATGTTGGAAATTAAATGATCTCTGTCAGGTATACCAAAGTTTTAAATCAGTTACAATCAGACAAACTCCTGTGAGTATCTATTTTAAAAACATATAAATAAGAAATTATTTGTTGGAAAGTGGCTCACACCTGATTAATCTGAAGATAGAAGACCATGAGGCTCCTGGCTACATAAGTAACTTCTGCTGATTCACAAGTGGTTTAACATCAGATTTCTGTAGCGGAAATATTCCAACAAGAACTAACTTAATAATATATATTGTGAATTGATTGCTTTCATTTGAGAGCAAAATGCTTTTAAAGCTATTATCTTACAATCTTTTATTTTAATTTAAATTTCAAAACATCCCGTATTTGTGTTCTTATTGTAAACACATACATGCAAAAATTCTAAGTCTAAAAGTTAAAAAGGCATTTCAGCTGTAATTCACACTAGGAAGAACAGGGAAGAGCTTAAAAATACCCATATGCATTGCCCAAAAATATTCAAATTCTCAGCTAGAGTAGGAGGCAACACCATTCAAATGACTAGTTTTCTTTAAAGCTTGGAGATAAGAGACTGTCATCTACCTTCAAATGTGGTGACTAGAGAAATCTTCCATTCAATGATGTGCCTTATATTTTACGAAACCATTTTAGATAGAATTGTAGCCAAAGGCTTTCAAGATCAGCTGAGTGGCTTTTCTGCACACATAAGCAGACTTAGGGCATATGAAAAATGTATACCAGCATACTTTCATTCAGATTTTAAGAGGTGGAAGTCCAATTTCCTTCTCTGTTCCTGATGGAAGCTCTACACAGTAAAAGCAGAGGCTCTAGGGGTCTGCTCTATCCTCTCTATTACATTTATTAATGAGAAAACAACAAAGAGGGTGTTTATATCATTGTATAGGTGACCCCTCACACAGACAGAGCATTACCTGCATGTTGCTGCAGAACTGGGTTTTGCAGATATGGGCTTGCCAGAAACATTAAGTTGACCTCATCCATGGAAACGTGAGTCATTGGGCGAGGGAGAGAGCAGGCGTAAAAATTGATTTCTGAAATTACCTACACAAAATAGGCGTAACTATTTTTGAACACATAAAATATATTGGAAATGTCAGTACACAAAGAACCACTACAGACTGCTACATATTGGTGCAAACATTTCTAATAACCAAGCTCCAACTCAAAGAATATTTAGATGCGTTTCACCTAATTGTGAAATATATAGATATGCGGTTTCAAAAATAACTAAACAAATTAAAGGAACAAAACTCAGTCAAAGACAGTTAAATTCAGAAGGCAATCTCTCTGGCACAGGCAGTCCTTCAGCCAAACTGCTGCTGGAGTTTTCCAGGGCAGTATCACTAAGTACGTGCCCTGCTCAAAGACTATTCCCACAATCACTGTCAGAGACAGGCTGGTGGGCTAGATAAACATCTTTTCACAAGAGTGGACCTGAATAAAAACTATAATTTCACTTCTGCATTTGTCAATCATATCTTGGCTTTTCCATATTTAAGAAGTAACGTGGCACTGCCATCAACTGGAGTTAAGAAATGTAAGGAAAAGGGTTTTTTTTCAGTAGAAACTATGTTGTGCCACTGTGCACCTGGGCCTCTCTCAGCCTGGGTGGGATCAGTGTCTATATCTGGAAATTCAGAGGTCTTTTTGTCCAGAAACGTAAAGGTTGCTTACGTGGTTTGCCTGTATAAGCACGAAAACATCCAAGCTGCTTCCTTTCTGAATTAAGCCTGAACCTTCCCTCACGTATTTCCAACCTAGCAGGCAAATCCCTACCTTTTTTTTCACGTAATTTTTAGGACTATCAGGAAGCTTCTAATTTGGAGCAGTTTGTGACTCGATTTCTTTTGAAGGAAACACTGAACCAGCTTCAGTCCCTCCAGAGCAGCCTGGAGTGTGCCATGGAAACCACAGAGGAGCAGACTCGGCAGGACAGGTGAGCAAACCCTGAAGCACTGAAGGGGGTGAGAAGCGGGGTCACCATGAACATCCAAGACCATTTTTCACCAAACAACCTGATGTAGGGCATAGCAGGAGAAATAAGGATACACCTTTTATTCCCTATAGGAACTCATTAATAGGAGTTTTCCTGAAATTGAATACAAGCAGGTTCCAATCTGGTGCTGTGGTGGGTTGCACGTTAAGAGGACCATTTTGTTACATCCGAGGCTCTGCTCCTTTGACTTCTTTTTAAATCTACTGACTATTGAATATCAAATGCAGAAACCAGACCACTGCAATGTGAAGAGCTCTGAAACTACTAAGGCCACTGACTGTCTCCTTGTTTACTTCTTTCAGCTTTATGATTTTTTTTTTCATTCCTGGTTGCACAACAATCCAAATATTAAGAGGAGAAATAGCCAGGCTCTTGCTATAACAGCTTCTTCCTAGAACATAGAACCATAGTATTGGTTAACATCTAACTCTATAAACTCTCAGTCACCTGGATAACCTACATCCATCCAAGGGATTTAGCTGAATTTAATACCATGACCTCATAGATGGGGTTTGTAGAATCAAGGATCAAAACATTTTTCTGATAGATGAGGGTTTGTAGGATCAAGGTTAAAAATATTTTTGAAAAGGTACTTGCCTTCATGGATTTGTTTTCCTTGGTACGCTACTGTTAAAGATGATACAGAAAGCAAAGCTGTTGTGTTTCATGGACAAAGAAGATCTCAGCATATGTTTTTAAATGCATTGCTTTTTCATTCTTGCTTTTGGAAACGTCATTTTTCTTGTTTGCTTTGCTGTTGGTTTTGAGATCTCTGAAGTACGTGAATACTGTACTGAGGTTATTAAGTCATGAATACACTGGGGTTTTGTGCCGGCAGCTTGACTGCAGGAATCAAGCAGGTTGATTTGAAAGGCTGAGGATGCACTGAGTATGCACAGTATGTATACCCCTCCATTCATGCATACATCTCTACAGGTTCCCCACAGGACTGATGGCAGAGAAAGAAGTCTTGAATGGCTAGTTCAGAGCTGGGACCTGTTAGGTGCTTTTACATCCTCTGGAGCAATCACTGACTTCTTCTCTGACTTGCTTTTTAGGAAAGCCTTTCCAGAAAGATCATCTGAGTAACTCAAATTACTCACTTGGTTGCATAGACTTCGGTAATATGAACACCCCTTTTGCTGCCAGCTTTCTTGTCTGCATTGACTGTCTCAACAACTGCCTTCAGTTTTTCAGAAATATCCTCTTGGATGGTGAATTTTGTTTATGGCAAAGAAAATCAGGAAGAGGTGTGACACCGTTAAGCCAAATACCATCTTCCCCATTTTCTGAGGTAGCAATGTAAAAGCCAGGCAAACTCAGCACTTTAACTACAGCTATTTAGGAGAAAATGAGTTAGAACCTAGTGCAGATGCCCCAGTTCCTATGTAAAATAATCTTCAATTATGTTTAACTTAACTCAGGTGCAAACTGTCTGAATCAAAATCCCATTAAGACATTCCTAAACTAATTTAAGAGTGCTTACAGTGGGAAACTGCCATAACTCAGCTTACTGTGAAGGGATTTTATGCTGCAGAAAATACCATCCTCAAACATCTCCTTAACATAGTGTGTGAGCTTTTGGTAAGCCTTCATTCTGTGCTTCAAGAGACCAGAGAGTTTTCTAAAGCAGTGACCTGGGAATTATTTACTGAACTTTTTAGACTACTGTCTAATATTCCTTGCAACCACTCATCCAACTAACTCTTCAAAACTAACCACAGTCCTGGTCCTTCATTGCTCTCTGGATGGGTGATGAAGAAGAACCATGTAGAGACAGCCTTCATTCCCCACACAAACTCTCAAGCTTCAACAACTCTGTCATTGCAGTACAAACATAAGTCATTTCTGTATCTATCTGCTACATTTCAATACTGGTCCCAGAAATGTAATATTAGCTAATTCTCACTGGTTTTCCTTCCTTATTAACAGATACATATTGTTTATCTTTTAAATCTTTAAGCTGAAGGGGTCAATGTTTAAAGTTTGTATCTCACTTTTAGCTGTTCTTGTGACCCCAGCTCCTCTGCAGAGATGCTACAAAACTCACATGAATGAAGAAACTGTGTGAATGGTTCCTTAGGTGAGGTCAGAACCACATCACAGGCAGACACTGACCTCAAGCTTTCTCTCCCTAAAAGATAGGTTTACGCCAGTTTAACCCTCCGTTTTTTTTGGTTTTTTTTTTACTTCTCTAATGACTATCAACCGAAACACAACTAATTAGTAATAGTGAAAATCTGGGAAAAAATCCAGTGGCCTCAATAGGTATTTCTCCTTTTTTAATTCAAATGGGAACATGCAAGCACATGTTGTGAGAACAGAGAGAGGAGAGCTCTCCCAAATGTTTTACCTTATGAAGTCTCCCATGTTTCTGTGCAGACAAGGCCCAACACAACCAGAAGTGCTCTCAATTCAATGGCCAGGAAAACGCTCAGGTCGAAGGCTTCTGAGGAACAACAGCCTGTCACCAAATAGCCCTCATTTTAGCACAGGTATGATATTTCACATTTTAAAGATATTTAAAACACATGCATATAAACACACATACAGAAAAATGTATATGTTTCTTCCTCTCAAAAATTTGAATTAGACATGATAACTCATTTTACTGACAGAAATCAATCTTAAATTTAATATAGAAGGTATTAGCTAAAAGCATAAGGAAAACAAATATGTATCCATAGATCTGAACTGATAAAAAATACATAATTTTGGGACAAACTGTGATATCATTTTGGTGCTGGGGGTTGATTCAACATTTCTTGGGTAATATTTGTAGCCTGCAGATAAGAAGGAAAAGGGGAAGGCTATAACTTATACAGAACCATGCTTATATATACATACACCTCTTTTTTATATATATACACACAATTTATACCTCCCAGGTGAGGGCAACAAATAAGAAACAGAAAGGGAAAATACAAAATGTGAAGGGAAAAAATATTTCATTTAAGGTGATACAAAAAATCTGAAACAGCATTTCTGCTTTGGAAAACGTGAGACAGTACTTTGGGAAATGGGATTCTTTGGAAGCAGTGACATTAAGCACCAGGTTCAGTGAAGACATCTCCAGGCTTAGTGAGGTCTGTTAGAATCAAGGCATGAAGGTGACAGAAATGCCAAAGTACGTGATGGGTCAAGCCCACTTCTTGACCAGTCATGCAGATTTCACTGCTTGCAGCCAAGTGCTTACCTCTTCCTTTTTAACCCTCTTTTGAAGATCCTTCTGTCACTTACATTCTTGACTCACTTTCTGCCACTCATTAAATCATGCTGTTCATTCAGTGCAATGATGCAGGATGACGTTTCATCCCTTGTGAGTTGCTGGTGTTCATAACAAGGAAGGTCACAGCCTTGTTGCTGCCCTCCTAATTCAGAGTTCAGAAGGGGCCCAAACATATGCAAGCTGTACCAAATCCACTTACTGTATTAATGTAATTTTAAAGAGCTAACATCTTTCTCCACAGCTATGCTAATAGCTGTCTAACTGCTGTCTACTTTCCTAGACAAGGTTTGTGTTTTTCTCGGCACTTGGTCTTCCTTCTTACTGCCTGCTGCCCACGTGCACCATAACACTGTAGGTGTGTATATGCACTCAGCACTGAAGCCAGCATTTCTTTAGTCTTTGTACTTGTTCAGGTAAAGCCACACTCTGTCTCCTCTACACATCACACCTCTGGTATGTCCCCAGCTTTAAGATTTCTTTGCTTGGTTGAAACATAGTCCAAGTGCCACAAGAACTCTCAGGTGGAAAATGAGCAGGTTAATGAATGCACACATCAAGAGCATGTGTTGAAAAATCTTCAGGTTTTGATAAACAGTCTTCCTCTCTCCTTAGAGCAATCACTTATGTATGCATTCACACTGTGGGTGACGCCAGGAACTGCTCTCATAATGCACATATCTGCTTCCTTGAGTATTATCCCTTCCATCTGATAGACAATCTTCTTGAGACTTTAGCAAAGCAAAGTTTTCCAGAGACTTTAGAGAGGCTCAGAGATGCTTGTGCCTTTGTAGAACAACATTTTCTAGTTTCACCTTTGCTATAAGACATCAGGTCATTATACAGTCACAAGTATGACTGCAGTAGAGATGGAGTGCTAGGAATTCTTTTGAAAGGGGCATATCCTATCCATATAGAGCGACAAGACACAATTAACATCCAGTGTCTTTAGTCTTTCCTCTGCTGCTGAATTCTGTGATTTGGGAGAAAAATAAACATAGGAAAGTTATTATGATGAAACATAATCAATCCTGAGTTGGTCAAAATTTGCAGTCACCACAAGCATAAATTACAGCTCTCAAAACCAAAATCTCGTTCTAGAAAAATCTAGTGTAGGAAGGATCAATCCTAATAACCATATTGCTGCAATTCATCAAGCACCTAGGAACGCTGTTTGGTTGGAAAGGTAAACAAGGATCATTAGCTGCAAGTGACATCCAGTTAATGTTATCAAATCAGCTACAGAGTCCACTGCAAGATTATATCCATAATTAGTGGATGAACACATGAAAACTCCTAAAACAGCATATTGCAGATGACTGTAACAAAGCTGAAAACTCCTCAGAGTATAAGTATAAAAACAGCTGTTGCCGCTAAATGAACCTTTTCTGAATGAAGAGAAAGACCCTTATTCTCAATGCAGATGAGACATTCTACGTTTATGTTAGGAGGCTCCTTCAGGAATCCCTCAATATCAAGATTCCTCAATGTGCCATGCCAGAAACATATCTGCACATGTACACCCTATTAATTCTTTTCTACTGTTCATAAGAATGTACTTTTTTATTGGGAAGGAGCATATATACTCTTAACCTTTGAATAATCCTGGAATCCTGCTGGAAGCGCCACGTCAGGATCCTGAGAATGCTAACAGGCCAACCACGGCGATGTCCTTGCGGTCAGGGCCATACAGCAGGTCTGCTGATCCTATCACCTAAGATGTATTGGCCATGCCAGGATATTTAAGACAGTCTTGGCTGCCTTTCTTTCACCTTCACCCATTCTCCCAGGGGAAAGAGGAACTGCAGACGAGACACAGCACATGGTCCCTCCATGGGATGTATTTTAGAGGAATCTCAAAGACAGGCTTGCTATCCAGCAGAAGACCTAACTCTTACTCTTACAGCAACTTTCACGTAAAAAAGATTAAGAAATGGCAAACTGAGAAAAAAATTAAGACAGAGAAAGCATTAACACACCCCCCCAAGATGATTTTGCATTTTGAGCAGAAGGTGTTCAGGTTATGAGCTCGTTCCATTTGCAGAGGAGAGCATTCCTTTCTTCAGGTTTCAGCACGATTTCAAAAGCATTGACATTAATCTAGGATGTAGTTTTCATTCTGTATTGGATTTCTATTGTATCTTAAAAAGAAAGAAAATAATTCATATAGTCAAAATCATGCTTTCCTCTAGTTACATCTAAATGAACATTGAACTAGTTGCAGCACAGTCTTCAAACAGCAAAATAAATTGCAAGCTAAGCTAAACTTTTTTATAAAATAAATTAATATGTTCCAGCATTTAGTTCCATTTTATAAATAGTTATTATTTATATTTTCCAAAGGTTGGATTGAGGAAGACAGCCAGTGGACAACCCAGATAAACAGACTCCAAAACCTGATTGACAGGCTGGAAAAGAAGGTGTGTGTTTCTTTTCACCTGCTTGTTCTCTCACTTTCAGTAAAGCAATCCTTAAACCACAAATGCTTTCAATGTCCCAGTCTTTCCAATTAATAATGAGTGAAACTTCCACATCACCTGAGAGCTAACACTCATTAAATACCTACATATTCCTTTCACCACCTTTTTTCCTATTTCATGAGAGTATGACATGGTTTTCCCACACTCTCCTTTCCCCTTTCCATCACCACAGTTTCAGATTTTCATAAAGATCTGAAAAGTCACATCACTCTATGACTGGAAGATGTTATAGTATTTAGTTATGTTTGTTTTGGGGAACTTGGGACAAGCCTTTCTTTTTAGGATCTGATTTTTTTCTCTTCTTCTCCAAACTTTCCCACTAGAGCTTGACAGAAAGTTTTGTTTCTTCCTTCCCCATCACAGAATACTAATTTATAAAGATAAAACACTTTCCTAATAAGTAGAGTTCAACCAAAAGCTGATGCAACTCCCACCCTCCCGCCTGGGAGCCGCGGGAGCCACCCCAGCTCCCGGGCTGCACCAGCCCCCAGAGCCCGGAGACAGCCTGCAGTTCCCACGCCAAAGCAGAGCTCTCCGGGAGCCTGACAAATGACCTGTCTGATCCAACGATACAAAGGCTTCCCAGGGCTTGTGAAAACCTGAGTAACATCTGCCTGTACAGAAAATATAATTTTCTTTTGTTTTTCTATCAGATTGATTGCTACCCTAGGTTTTCAAAGTTGGTTTATGTCTGTGTGACGATGACTTGGCGGGGGGAGAGGGGAGAAAGAAGAGCAGAGAAAAAAGTAAGGTATAAATTCCTGGGTTGTTCTCTACATAAAGTGTCTCTATTGAAGGACAGACAGACAATTTCAGATAGGTGCTAAGGGAGTGGCTGAATTCAGAGGATTTTGGGACCCAGGGAGTTTCCTCCTGACTAGAGGCTAGGTTTGAGGTTGAAGTGCTCTCGGACCCAGGAGTTCCTCCAGTCCCAGCGCGGCTGATGCTGCTCCTCCCTGCAGGTCAACGCTCACTGTCGGCGAGGATGTGCATGTGCTCCAAAGACATGGATTCACGCACACCACCACGGGTGCCTCCACCAGCACCCACAGACAGGCAGCGCTTGCAGAAACATGAACGTGCGACAGCCTGACCCTGTCCCTTCTTTCCAGCTGATCTGGATGGACGCTCCCCAGTGAACATTATCATGGGCTCCAAGTCCATCTGGTATTCGTGGCTGGACACCTGCCCCTTACCCAGACATTGGCTCAGACCCTGGGTCCTGGCAGACAAGTGTCTCCTCCTACTTGCCCGCTAGTCCAACTTGAGTTCAGTAGCAAATTATACACACAGAAAATAGTTCAGTTTGGGATTTAACAAGAAGACAGAATAAACGGTGGTGACCTGGCACAGGGCTCAACAAGAAAAGTGTACTGACCTTTCTCTGCCATTGCTCCCTCCCAAATGAACAAATGGTCCCAAGTTACTTTTCCCCTTTGGTCCCAGTTTGGGACCAAAATTTGGTATCTCTGTTACCTCAGCCTTATTACTGGGTAGCTGCATTACCGTTACGGTCCCCTCCGGCACTGCTGGCCTTGCAAGACTGCTCCCCAAAAGGAGCCCAGTCCCTTCACTTATCCCTGAGGTCTGACAGTCTCTCGCATCGCTTCTCCTTAACCAGCTGTGAAACTCGGCCATTCCTTGCGGCACTGCCTGCAACTTCTGTCAGGTTCTCACTCTGCTGCTTGCTATGCTCAGCAGCTCCTCATGGTCTGCTGAGTCCATTAAGCCTCTGGCCAGGGCATACGCATCTACCTGCACACAACAGCTTCCTCCCAGAGGTCATTTCTGCGTGAGAAAAGCAATTACACAGCAGTTGCCATGTTAATGACATTTTAGTAGCAACTTCATTTTTTCTGAATAGATATAAATTGGATTTTGAAATGTCAAGGTCCATCATGAAATTTAACTCTTGCTTTTGGTCCAGCTCTACTTCCAGCTCTGCTTTGGAGACAGCAGCTCACTGCCCTGCCACAGTGACCTCCTGACACGGACTGGTGAAAAAAGGAGTTTAAGGAAACTTTTAAAAGAGTGTTACTGAAAAAACAAACTTGACATACAGCAATAATGCAATGCAAACGTTACAGAAAACAGCCAACCATTTTGTCGTATAGAAATTTACACAGATGTTATAAAATTATCAGATCTGCTATGGATAAATGACAGAGAACCTCAGTTTGAACAGGAGCTCAATGCCAAAGGGAAATGGTGGCAGGGCATAGACCTTCCATAATTATCTCCTTATCAATATAAAACTTGATTAATAAAACACAGCAATTGGATAATCCTAATTTTGCCAATAGACCGCCTGTATCCACCTTTGCCCTAACTTTGCATCTGCTTGACTTTGTATCTCATGACCAGGTCTAAGTGTGAGAGGTGAGAAGTTCACCATTTCTGCAGCTTCTCCAGGACCACCAACTTTGATTGTTCTTCTCTTGGCACCTCTTTCTGGCCCCTGTGAACTAAAAAACCCAATTTACTAAGCATGCAACTTAGAAATCATGAAACTTTTGGTCCTATAAGGTATCCTAAGAGGTATTAAAAAGACTATGAGAATTCTTTTGCATTGACATTCCCTCTGGTCCTCATTTTATTAGATCTTACACTCCATTACAGTAGGAGGAGCTCCCTGTGATCCATGTTTAAACAGCATCTAGCAAAACGGTGTCTGGGTCATGACTGGAACAGGCATGTATTGCAAAAAGCATGTTGATGCCTCTTAGCAGTAGAAGACTGTGAGCCCATGTATTCTGTTCCAAAGCAAAGTCAAGAAAAGGCAAAGCTTTTCAATGACCATTTTTTTAAATGACCATTGACTTCAGACTGAAATTAATTAGACAGAAACATCAAGTGGTTGGTCACCACTTTGTGGAGTAATAGGGCACGGATTCTGGCGGGGATTCAGGCCAAAGACCTTTATTGCTAGAAGTGTCCGCTTTTTATGCAGTTACAGCTCTTTCACGCACCACAAAATACGTCCTGGTCGGTTACCACACACAGTCCACGCGCTTCTCCACAGTCAGGATTCGCTGCCTGCAGATGTCCACACGCTCCTTTGCTTCCTCTTAGTTGTTTACCACAGCTCCTTCTCCTCAAGGCTGAGCCATGCAGATGTCCAGCTGTTTACCAGCTTCCCAATGCCACAGCTCCTTCTCCTTAAGGTCGAACCCTTGCAGGGTGATCCCAATACCACTTCCCACCTGGGATGAGGCAGTTACATATGCCATCTCTCAGCAGTAACTTACACATTTTTACCCCAAAGTGACCACTTCTCATCTGAGGCGAGGTAGGACTGAGGAGGCATTGTAAAGCCCCAGCTCTGAGCTGCAGCCTTGGTCAGTTTTCACTTGCAGGCCACGTGATAACTGTCTGGCAGGAGCTCTCAGCTCAGCTCAGTAGCAGAAGTGGGCTACTTCACGTGTGCTCAACGTTGAGTCAGCCGGCGACCGAGCGCTCTTTCCACAGAGATGAGGACGATGCACCAGCGCTCGCATGCTCTGAGGTCACAGCAAGCTGTCTGTGTAGGCTTAGCCCCTCTGCGTAGTCATGCCCTGTCTAACGACATAACACTACTGAAGAACTGCTATAGATTATTTTCAAATTCTTGAGGGGGTCAGCAAGGTGTCCATCAGTGGTTCCTACTGAAAAACTACCTGGTGAATCGTTGATTTAGTGTTGTCTAACTCTTCTGCTGTCTTCTGTCAAAGGTGAATTTAACCATGAATTAATCTTGTAAGTCCTTTTTTTTCCCCTCAAGTTCTGAAGTTATACACATGGGGAAAAACAGATTTATTTTTTTCTTGATACCTTAAGAGAAAGTTTGCAGTACAACTCGAGTCATTTGTTTCCTGTCCTTTTCCAAACATTCCCTGGAAAAATTTTGCACTGAAAATTAGAAGAACCACAGGAATATGCATTTTCCTTCAGCTTTTCATCTGAAGTGTCTGCACTGACAAATGAGCTATTAAAACTGTGGTTGGTTTTTTTCCTTCCACACACACATTTCATGCCTTTCTATGCACATTCTGCGGAGAGGTACGGCTACCCAGCAGTTAGTCTGTGACTGCTGCTTCGCTCCTGCCTGGCTTTGCCACCTGCTGCTGGTGGAAGTCCCCTGTTCATTTGAGTTCTACCCGCACACCTCTTGTTGGCTTTTCAGCAAGTGCAGTATTTGTGCTGGCAAAACTCCTGCTACCCGAGGTTAATCAAGCCTCACCGACCTGCAAGTAGGAAAAAAATTTTATCTTTGCGACACAAGAATTGTTTGCAATAAGAAGCGAAGCGTCACTAACGAAGAGCGTGTTTTGCTCCAGCTGCTTATTGCAAATCGACTTGCTTTTTTCCAGGCATATGGATATTTTTCAGAACGTCCATATGGCACTGTGTTAGAGGGTATTGCATGTGCCTAGCATGTAAGTGGTAATTTTGCGCGCATTACTAGAGGGTGTTTGCAGGAGTCACTGATTCATGAAGCGTGCACCCAGTTTGTGTGCCAAGCAAAGCATACTGCTGCCTCACCGATGCGCCTGTTTGCTGCCGCCCAGTCTGTCCTCAGAAGCAAGTGCAGCGGTTCAGAAACCTGACTTGGAGCACTGTGCACGTTTTTTTCAATGCTAGAAAACAATTCCTTGCCATCATAACGCCCCTGTAGAGAAGTTTCTTCTGCATAAAGTTTTATGAAGGCGTAATAGTAGCTGATAGCTCATTTCAAATTACTCATCTCCATAGTCCACGTGACAGTTTGAGAGGGAATGTGTATTTTCTGAATTAAGTCCAACATACATTTGTGAGCAAGTGGATTTGTTACAAATGAAAAACTACCTGCTCAGCATTATAAATAAAACTTTACAGAACAGCCTGGGTTGGATTTAACCACTGAAACGTGCAAGACTTTGAAAACAACGCTTGTATTTGACTTACAGCTAATAAAGAAGGGATTTAATTATAACTTCTGGAGATATAACAGAATCTAGCTATTGGAATAGTTTGTTAACAAGGTAAGGCCAGAATACAGCTGTAGTATTGCCTCATGTTTCTATTTTCTTTTCAACTGCCTGAAAGGACCTAAAGCTTGTGCCATTTGAAGAGGAAGTTTTGGAAGAAAATGCAAAACCTGTAAGTACTTTCAAGATAATGACTTTTAACATTTAATTTTCAATGCCAGGTAGTAAGACAACAATCTCCCCTCATCTCTTTTGTTAAAAAATAAAAAAATCACCATCCTCCCTTTTCCCAGTGGTAGGAATCCATTTTAGCCAGCAGAATACATTGTGCAAGATGCAACACAACAAAACTTAGGTATATGTGGGCAAAACTTTTATATTAATTTTTTGCATTGTTTTCAAAGGATACAGTGGGCCAAAAACTCAGCTCACATAAGGAGTAAAACGTGTCATTAATAAGATTTACTGAATTCGACAGCAGTGTTTACGGGCTGGTAGCTTGTCAGCTCCCGATCACCTAATGCTGCATGCACGCTTTAAATCATGGTTGTACAGCCAGCCTCCCTCCCTTCCAAAAAGGCCATTGGAAGCCTTACCAGGAAAGACTGAAGAGCATCTAGTGTTAAGCAGTAATCAATATTACAACTTACAAACCCAAAATTATAACCAGAGATAAACTTACTTTTAATTAAGTTCATGTCCAAGATTGAGATCAGTTTTTCAAATACACGGGTGTTCCTAAATTCAGGACTTTGAACCTAACAAAATGCAAATCACATGAAAAAATAACGAAAATAGCTGGCACATCAAATTCCTTATTTCATCACAGGAGTTGTATTAGATTTTTTCTTTTTAAGATGAGATTATACAGTATTTCTATACAGACTGCTTATGAAGAAGGGATAATCCATGAGAAAACAGTATCAATAATCAAGGCAAAAACAAGTCAAAAACACATACACGAGATGAAGTTGTATTAAAAGCACATGGTGTTTCTTGAAAGATTTCATTAGTAAAGTTGACAAGCTTCAATGGATAAATCAATATGTAAACACCTTACATTAGCTAAATTATAATCATAACAATTCAGGATAAATTGGTCTTCTGTACTGCTAAGTGTTTCCATAGTCCTGTTTATAAAAATTGTTCATTTTTTGCAGAAAGGTAGAGAAAAAAACACCCTCTCTATTCATCATTTAACATGGGCTACCTTAGGCATCTCATTCAGGTGTGAGTCAGAGCTCTGAAAGGTGAAAGACTATGAGAGCACCTCCATGAGAGTAACACTGCATCCAATGCAGATTGTGGGAATATGCTCTTACCTCAAACCTCACCCCTACTTGCGTACAGATTAATCCAAGGAAACATGCTGACTTTATTGCAGAATATTCCAAAGATCAACATTTGCTTTGCACTCTTCTAAAAAGACTCTCTCATCCAGGCTTCGGACAATTCTCAGTTTCTCTAAGGTGGACGCTAATTTTGAGTGTTTCCATTCTGTGCCTCAGGCTGCTGAGACAAAAGCTACACTTCAGGTGTTTCCAATTCTCCACTCCAGAGCACCAAAACAAAGACTGCAAACTTCAGTGGAACCTTTGTGGGTTTTATTTGATGATTGTGGTTTTTACTGTTTTATGATAGACTTTTCTGAGTGTAAAGTCCACGGAATTCAGAGGATGATATGGCAGTAATATTGTAATGTTTTTGTATCAGCACATAATGATTGTTCAACGTCAAATGTCTGTGATAGAAGAAGAAAGTGAGGCATTCCGGCTTGCTCTGAAGCAGTACGTGGAATCTGCTTCTACTCAGGGTGGCTGCCTGCAGTAAGTACAATGTTATTGCCCCTGGGCTGAAGGGAGGAATGTAGTCTGATTTCTTGAATAGCTTTTAAGTGGAGCTGGGTTGTTTATGAAGAGAGAACCTGTAACATCTTCTTTCCTGGCTGGTTATGCATGTGTGTAAGACAGAGCTTTTCAAAGACAACTAAAACCAGAAAAAGACATCAGACTGCAGACTTTAAGCAATATCACAAAATAACAATACAGGCTATCCCAAAGATGCTAAACAATCTTTAAGGTTTTTCAGCTCTACAGGTCATCAATTCATAGCTCCTGGAAGCTCCGAGACCGACACTCTTTACTGGAAAACTCATCTGCCATCCTTCATTTGTGCTCACCTGCCAAGTGAGCAATTTATCGACTTGCTTCTCTGCTTGGAAGCTTTCAAAATCTTCCCTTTAGGCTGTCATTTTTACAATTTTCACTGATAATAAAGAATGGGAAAAATGAAAAAGCAAAATTTTCAATGAAACAAAGTGTATTTCTGCTTTGCTCCTTTTAGAATTAAATAAACCATTAGAACTCACCACTGAACTAAATTTCTTCATTTAACATACTTGAGAAGGCTACTACTGTACACACCACAGACCATTATAAACCAAACATTTTTATAACGTGTACACAATACAGGAGCTTCCTATATATTCAAAGGCTTCAAAGGCTGCCTATCACAACCCTAATTTATGAGCCTTGTTGCTATGAGATTGTCACACTTATGATTGTATCAGTAGTGTTCACACAGACCAGAAAAAGTACGCTAAGCTGGAAGAAAAAAAGAGTGACCTTCTTGCAGTGGTTCACTTGTACAGGCAGACTGATGAGGAAAATAAAATTTTCTTGTGGCCCAAGACCTGGAAAAAACAGAGAAGCCCCCCAGTCCCTTTCCAAAACCAAACATCCAGCAGAACGCTGCTGTGACTGCAAACTTGTCGGGGGACAGAGCGTACATGACTTCAGAACGCAACTGAGCAAATGACGGCAAAAAGTTACTTTCCCCGAGTTTACAGGCATTTGGTAAGTCTGTAGTGCCACCTTCCGGCTGGTTTTTACCACAGCTGTTTATGACATTTGACTTGCTTTTTCCAAGAGTTCTTGATATTTTTGCTATTTTACAACGTATTTTCACATACGGCAGGAGAAACCCAATAAATCATATGACTTTATTGCTTATTACAGTATGACATATAATCTGAGACCGGTTTGCAAGCACATCAGTAGTAAAATCAGCAATCTCACAATTGGGCACTGAAGACAAATACAAATATATATACTTTTTGTGCTATACATCTAAACAACAATTTGAGTACTCAAATGCATAAATACCCTATATGCTATAAAGCTTTTATGCTCAGGATAATAAGTGGGAGCATCAGCAGATATTCTGTGGCTCACTTTTCACTTCTGATAAATTGTTAGCTGAATAGCGTAAGAACAAGTAAATACTACCCAAAGGTATTATTTTAAAAGTGTACCTGCAGCAGACATCAGTCTATCTGTTTTTATTCTCCATTAATATTCGCTTTCAAAGCACCTAAACTCTATGCCACTTGATGCATACAAAAGGATGACTTCTCACAGTGTATTTCTTCAATGAAACAGCACAAGTTACTCTATAAACGTATTTGAGATGTTCTCTGTGTACAATATGCTGTATTAGCTGATTTTCCCTGACTCACAGTTGTTTGATTAATTTTCTGTATTATTGATTAGTATTTTTTTAGATAAATGACACTATTGGATCAATATGAAAAATTAGTTGCATAAATAAGGGTCCATTATAAGTGTAGTAATATAAAATAAATAAAAACCCATGAAAATACTCCAAGAGTTTAAAAAAAAAAAAGCTCAGATAAATTGCAGTATGTTTCCCAAAATTCACTTATTTGTTAAATTTCTTATTTGGGTTGCTTTTTGGTTTGCTTTTTTTTTCCTAAAAGTCACTGCATTTGGTTCCTGCTCAAAAGTATTTTGGAATAAAATGTGTATGTCCAAAAGCTTTGTCATGTTTGATTAAATTAGTTCTATCCTACAATTCTTAGTGTTTCCATACAGAAGCTTCCAAGTGATTCCCGCTTCATTGTTTATGAGTTCTGGGAGAACAGCAATGCCTGGAATAGGTAAATTTTAGGGGTTTGTGATGGAGGTTTTTTTTGTAATATAGACAGTTTTGAAGGTTAGAAAGCAGTTGTGTAGAAGGACTGAATACAAATTACTTTAAATACTGCTAATCGATCCTTTGGTAAATATATCACAATTAATACTTCAGAACAATCCTTCAATTTCTAAGGACTAAAATATACTGAAATATATAAATAAAAATGTCAGACACAGCTAGTTCGAACAAAACATACAAAGTCTGAAAGCAAATAGAGAAAGGTAGGGCATCAGGTAGATGTTAGTTGATCAGAAACAAAAGAACAGGCATATTGCCACAGTTTAATGATAATGAAAGAAATAAAAGGAGCCAATGACTGTGACAGGAGGTGTGCCATCCAGCAACACATTTAAGCACGCAAGCAGTCATGGGGAACTCTCCCAACACTTCCCAAATCCACATCACAAAACCCCATCTGACAGATTCCCAGAATGTCTCTTTTGGGCCCAAAATAGAAGTGATTGAGCGTCCTAGCAGCTGAATTCTAGCCTACAGCAGGCAGATGGCTATGAAATTGAGTAGAGACAAAAAGATTTTCCTTAACTACATTCACTATTAAAAAAACAAACCAACCCTATGATCCTAAACCTGTAGACAGAAACCATTCTGAAGGAAGATGAAGTCTCCTGAAGCTTAGTTGTTTTCCTTTTAAACAAAACCCCAGTTCAAAGTTTACTTTTCAGAAAGACTCAAGAACACTAGTAACACACATCAACACTATATTGGGCCACAGCCAAGAGATGAACATCAGAGTAAGAGTCAACCATACAGAAAAAAAACTGCGTTTAATGTAACATGCAAGCACTTTGCAGCTTATCTGGTCTCCTACCCCACTACCATCATTGCTTAAGTTTTGAAGCACAAAATCTCTGTTACAACATTAATTGTAAAATTCCTAATGCTCATGAAAAAAATTTGAGCCCCTTTAAAAAACTTGATATAGTCTTATTTTTACAATCATTTAGCCACCTTCAAAAGAATTACAGCAAGACATTCCAAAGAAGTAACGTGGACTTCTTGGAAACTCCAGAGATCATCACAACAATGCTAGTCCCTGGTAAATATCAATTTTGCACATTTTTTATTCTGTGTGAAGAGTTGTTATATTAGTGTGTTCCATATGCAGAACCACTGCATAGTATCACCCTTAGTCAGATCTTCTTTGGTAATATGTGAAGGAGAAAGGGACTCCAAATGTTTCTATTTTAAGCACAGAAATGTAAAAATACATCAGCAAGAACAAGACCCACAATGTTTTATTTCATATAGTGCAAAGTTAACGCTTTGCACATACTATTTAAGAAAATATCTAGAATAAACAATACTATTTGTGAATAGTAAAATAGACCCCATTTAAGATTTCAGGTAAAAAAATTATTTCTGCTGAAGACTTCAACTTAATCGTACTTACACTGACTGAAGAAAGCCTTAAATACTAGTAATTGATATTTACTAACCAATTTATTATACATACTTCCTGCTACGTTAAAAAAGAACAAACTACTTTTTGAAAAAGCAAGGTGTTGAAGATTCCAAATTATTATTTCTAATAACGAAACAATGAGTATGCAACATTTTCTTTCTCCTAGAAATGACAGTTAAGAGACAATGCAGGATGAAGCAAAGCAAGTGTCAGTCCCATATTTACACAGGGAGGACAGCAATTTTTTTTTCTTAGGAAACACAAATCTATTACAATGAAACCCTAATTTCCCCTATGTCTGAGTACAGACTAAGTTTAAAACAAAACCTCACCTAGTAGGAAAAAAAAAAAAATTTACATAATCTTGTACCTGAGGTTTCTCCTTAAAAGAAACTAGCCAAGGCATTTTCAGACCTCATCAGCCTGATCTGAGCACACAGTTATATGCCAAGGATTCCTGCAGTATCTGGAGATTGCACTTAATAAACCAAGAATCCCTTCAAATCTTGTATCATACTGGGAAATTGCTGGATTTAAGACGAACTTGGCTATAGGAAACAAGGTGTCCTTTTCCCAAACTTCTTTGTGTCCAAGAGCTAGACTGCATATGAGCCAGGAGCGTCCCAGGGGTGGTTTACTCACACCTACAGTATAATTAACATAAAATAAAATGTAAACAATTTTTTTAAATGCCTAAATATAGAAGTGACTGAAATCGGATTCAAAATGCTCGTTGAGGCATCGACTCTGCTAAGAAGGATTTCAGTTGGCGGCAGTCTTATCCTGGCAGGCAGTCGCCATAGAAACAGCATTTCTCCCTGCGCACCCCTTGCTGGGGGGGCGATGGGCAGTAACGCATTCGCAGTCATTTTTATAATTTTATAGATTATCTGTAGTTTAGAAATCTGTGCAGAGATTTGAACTTTTCTTTCGTGGAAAGTACTTCCCATGCCTGATCTATACAAATCGTATTTGTATCTGAAAGACAGAAAATGTTCTTGAAGTAAAAAATGATGGCTGCAATGCTACCAGTATGCCTTATGAAAGAATTTTAGACACTGTAAAGTGATACCATTGTACAATCTAGAAAAAAACCCCAACCTGTCTGCAACTAGCACATAGATAGGCTCTATTTTAAAAACAAATTTACCCTATCTCAGACACATCCACTTTTTTTTTTTTTACACACCTGGGTAACTAAGAACTGAAGCAATTCTAAATTGTAATCTGATTCAATCAAAGATTACTACCCAAGAGTCTCTATTCTGCCAATTAATTAAAATTAATAAGTATACACTTATGTGGCCAAGAATGATTCAGGAAGACAAGAGATTTCAAGAAGACAAGGGTTTTCAAGACTGTTAGATCCAATATTATCCTAAAGCAAACTCATTTACCATCAGTTACCAACCTACTACAATCACCTGCACACCTGCTAAGCAACCAAGTTGCTTCAGGCCAATCTACCAGGGTGGCATGAATCACTCAGCACCTCTTCAGCAAATGCCTAATTTTTATATAAGATCTGGACTTGAGGACACTAGGGAACCTTTTGGTGAAGAAAACAAAAGCTAGGGGAAAACTGTTGAACACTTATGACACGACAATCCATGAAATAAGCTGTTACATTGGTGCTTTTTTTGACAAAATTCATTAATCCACTGATGTGTCAGAGACTAGTAGGCTTTCATAGCCCCAATTCAGGTAAGATTCTTAAGTATCTTCTCGACATTCTTCTTCAAGAATAACATTTTTCAGAAGAACACCATAAATTGAAGGACTTATGGACACATTCACATAAATAAGTTGTATTAAGGAATTTAATACCCCAACTGTGTAGTGCAAAACCTACAGAGCCTAGAACACCCCTCTGCTAAGGGAACATGGCATCTCAGATACAGTCACGGTTCCTTTCCTTCCTTCCTGTCTCTCCCCATAAACTTTGTGGTTCTTCTCTGCATAAGGTTCGGTTTCAAAAGGGCAAAGGGTAGGGACCGTGGGGCAGCGGTACAAATGTGATTCACTCCAGCCTTGTCTATAATCTGCTGATTACAGATCATCTTTTACGGGAATGACATTTTACAAGCCCACCAATTCTCTTACTTTTGGGGCAAAGTGCTCTTAATTCCTAGAGTTGTGTAAAAAGAACAGCACCAGGTTTGAATAACATCGCTAGGAAAGAAAGTCATTAAAGGCAGCACAATCACCCAGGGGGGACAGTGCTCAGCTAAAATAATGACACAGGCAGCAAAACAGGAGTGAGGATTTATGTGGTTTGCTCTCTGCCATACGGACGCTTAATTCTATGCAGCCGCCCCTATTACACTTTAATGTTTCTTTGAATGTTATAAAAAAGGAGATATAAATTCTTGTGCTAAAGCCACTCCCCCACCCACAGTTATACTCAGCTCTCCTAGTATTTTAAGTATTCTTCCCCTGCCTGGAAAGGTTGTGTCCTTGAAAGTATGCAGCTTTAAAGTAAAGTAGTATTAGCTGCATATATAAATGAACATTTCTTTATATATGTTGCAGCTATTTTATTTAGGATTTTTACAAGAGGTAGAAAAAGAAATACTGCTTATGTTAACAAATAAATTAATTCTCCTCTCTTTCAGCATCGTGGCGGGTTCTCAGTAACAACTAGAAGGTGTGGTTCCAAGTAATGTTAACATTGCATTGTTTTTCATTACAATAACATTCATATAGCAGTGTACAGGTGTGCTGAGTTATGAACTTATGATGTGATGCTCTTTGTAATTATGGATATGATCTTTTCCATCATGGAAAACTGCACATTACAGTCTCTTCTTGTGACTAGTTCAGTGGAATGATGCATTCTAAAAGCTGAAACAAGACAACTATGTTAAACTGTTGTGTATATTCAGTCCAAACTGTCACAGAGAAGTGCATCTTGATTGGTATGACAGTATTTGTGAAAAGTTTTAGTCTTACGTTAATAAAACAATTGTTACTTAATGCTGCTGTTTTCTCCTTTTACAGAATAAACAGGTATGAACATGAACACACTTCTTCATACATGTTTTATGCTTCAAAGAAGCTGTAAGTCATTAATTAGGAGAAAAAACATAGGGACAACTTTCTGTGTTAATACAGAACTTCACTCAGACAGGAAATTTTCTTCCCATAACAAGACGAGGCAGTACCATTTTCTCTTCACAGCTTCTAGCCCGTACCCTCGCAAGAGGAAACATATCTGCCAGCCTGCCAAGCCACTTTGGATCCACAGACTTAACATTTAACAACCGATTTGCTTTGAAATCTATGTCCTGAACACCTGGAAAATATTTCCATTAGACCACTGGCAGCTCACTGAAAAGTCATTAGAGGAATCACTGTCAGAGCACAAATAGCCATAAACCTGGAAGTAGAAATACTTTCTTCCCTAAGAAACCCTGCTGTTGTCCCCTGCAGCTGAGCAGTAGGTGTGTCCTCCAGCCCAAGAATGAAAGGCAAGTGGCTATTGTAACCTCACACCTCCATGACAGCTTGACAAGCTCTACATGCTGAATGACCAATCTCTCCACTCATCTAGCAGTCCAACATTACAAACAGTACCCAAAAAGTAACTTACAAGTCATATTCAAGAAAATATCTTCTTCACTGTACAATTTATCTATTTTTATTTCAACTCAACCAACACATTACCCTGTGTAATTAAAAGTGGGGAATTTAGACTACAAACAAGCAACCTTCATTGCAGTATGGTTCCATATTCCAGAACCCATGACCAGGACTGAGCTCAAGATTAAGAAAGGCATCACATTTAAGTACCTGCATGTGACCAAGGCATCTTAGCTCCTATTGTATCAATGGAGTTCTGAGACAAAATTAATTGCTTTAACAAAGGCATCTAGCACGTGAGAGATGCTCTAGAGTATCCCAGCTGGTGTCCAGCTCCCAGCTGAGGACACGAGTTACCTATAGGTTGTGTGTCACTTATGCCAGCCTCATGCAGCTATCCTACATGTCTCAGATGACACCAGATGCTTACCTTTAGGCAACTGAATCAAGCCCTTTGCCAATAAAATCAATGGAGCCTAGGTTCTCTACACAAATGTGGATGTCAGAAAGTGATGCCTACACACCTAAATTTATTAGAGATAAATATTAGAGATAAATGAGTATCTCATATTAGAGATAAATTTCACATTTAAATCTTCTTACAGTAACTCAGCAAAACTGAATGCTTTTACTACTGGAGTCCAAAGCTCTCCCATATTAACATGGTCCCGCTACAGGTCTGGTAATTCTTTAAAAGGCACCCAAATAGCTGTATTACACTCATAAATAACGGAACAGTGAAAGTTTAAAGGTTTCTTTGTCTTTAGCAAAAAGTAAAAGCAAAGCTACTTATATTCCTGAAGATCTGGCTGGCTTTTTTCCTATGCCAAGATGTCAGTCTAGTGTATGTCCTGTTTTCTTTTGTCGCTACTGATGTACTGACAAAGGAAACACAGTGACATGTGACATTGCTGCAGGGTAAATCCTTCAGTGAAAACTGACACACCACTCTGAGGTTTACATTTTTCCTTTTCACTGGATAAACGATACTAAAATTATTCTTAAAATAACCTGCTTTAGAACTTCCTGTCAATTAGGTGCTGGAGGGGGGAAAAGTTCTAGTAGGTAATACAGCCTTCTAACAGTTATTCTCCATTCTATATTTGCTAGTAAACACTTTGATGAACCATACACAATAAAAAGTTTGAGAAGTTTCATTTAAGAGTTGAGAGCTACACACAGAAATTGCCTTCAGCACGTACTGGGGAAAAAGATCGATATAACTCACTCTAAAAATCTCCCAGTGATTAAAAAGCAAACAATATTCCAGTTCTTTGTAACATTACCTGTAAATAATATACAAATAGAATATACTTGGAAGTTTATTTTAATTGGCTAACTGCTGCTAAATATAACAGAAACTGAATTCAAATAAGCTCATTTGCGTATTTCAGGGAAAGAAATCTAGTGTCTATCAAATGCAACTTTGAAGTTTTCTGCACTACTGCGATTACTTTTCAACACATTCTCACTTAGTTTCCATTATCGGTTGTGGCAGAGGTTAAAAAATTGTCTTCATTGCCCAGATTACATCCGTGCAGGTCTGAATGCAGGTTTTGAAGGTAATTATATTCATACAAAATAACTATTGTTGATGTTTGTCAACTGAAGGATGCTTCCAGGAAATACTCTACTGCTTTCCACTTCACTATTAAATATGACACTAATTTAAGAAAAAAAGTTACAGAATTAACTATGTACTGGTATATTTACCCATATAGACATGATTAAAATCGGTCGTCTTCCTCAATTTTGCCCATTACTTCCACTTTTCAAAGACAAAAACATGGGACAATTATTTACAACGAACTTCAAGGAATGCAATGTGTAGACAGTTCTCTTGTTCTGATCCACAATGAGACAAGATTTCTCATTTTAGTGAAACTGTTAGTAACAAGGATTTCATGCCTTGAAAGAAGGTATGCATCCACTAAACGTTAAGGAATCTCTTGTGTCAAGACAGAGATTTCAAATAAAGAAAGCAAGTGAGTGAAGTTTTGGCAAAAAAAAAAAAAATTAAGCTAGAGGAGTACATACCCTAAGACATCTGAGATTTCACACTGCCAGTATTTGTTGTTCCATTGTTACTGCTAAGGAAGGGAGGTGGGAGCAAGCAAGAAGCCCCAGTCAAGTACTGGTTTATAATTTATGGTCAGACAAACTACATGGCTACATAAACACAGAAAATTCAAGGACAAAACTCCGTCACAGCAAAATGTAAAATTATTTATTTTCACTGTAATTGCATTACCATCTCAGGCATTAAAAATTACAGGTTTGACTTCTAAAGCATTCAGGCAATTACAGGAAGAAACAGGCATTTCCGTAAGTTTCATTGGGTCCTACTTTCATCTGTAGGCACCCAAGTACCTTCAAAAAATCTTAAAGATCTACATCATATGTAGCTCCTTCGTTGATGGATTTCTCATCTTCCAAACAACCTGTCACTTCTTGCATATGTCAATAAAAGGGTTGCTTTTTTCCTGTAAGACAAACAAACCCTCAAATTACTTCAGTTATAAGAGGTCATTTGAACCAGGTTTTCACGGGTCTGTTTACAACCCTTTTCTACTCCATATACAAATAATTCCAACTCAATTCTGATTCAATTTCTATCTGCATGTTTTTCCATAAGTAATAGAGTGGACCTTGCCATCGAATATATTCTATTAATATATTCTATATTAATCTCCACTTTTTGCAGATTCATATTAAAATCATTTGCCTGCTAATATCTTTGGCGGTGATTCTTTAGGCAGCCTAAACCATTCACTCATGACAATGTTTAACAATGTGATTTTTTTTTTAATTAATGAAAGTTCTACTTTCATTAATCATGGAGACTTAATCTGATCTCTTCATGGCAGGCTTTGTCAACACAGTAGCATCACTTCAGTTCAAATGCTGAGCTATGTATAGGCAGGCCTGATCCCCACATCTCAAAAAAACCCCCAGTGTCTTTTGGGATAAATGCAACCCGCAATCCACACCCCACTAACTGTAACAACAGCATCTCCCTTGTACAAGTCACTCTAGGAAGCCATCTTTTCTCCATCTGAAAATACAGGTTTCACTCATAGATGGGCATATACTTCAGCAGTGACTTCAAAAATTCGGAAGTACGGAAGTCTTAACATGGATAAGAATCGCCTGAATACCCAATTCAGTGGCAAACTGTTGACAACCACCTGCTCCTAAATACAAGCTCACTGACATGTTGTAAGATTGTCTGTTCATCATTAGAAATTTATCTGGAGGCCTCCTTCTGCCCCATCATTCATTTAATTTACACGTTCATCTTACCGATCCCTCTGATTTCTATACAGAAAAATGGGTGACACGGGATGAGTCAACACACGGGAATTTTCCCATGTAACCATAGAATCTGCTGCATGAAGGAACTAAAGTGCAGAGGAAAGAGGATGGATAATGGAACAATTGAACACTACTTACTGTTCAGTGTAAGTAAACTACGTGGTTTTGCACACTCCACTGAAAACAAGTCCTGAATAATGCTATCATCAGGATACTAACATTCTACTATAATTTCTGGCACTGCTCTACCAAAAAAGTACTGTCTTTAGATGACCTGTTATCAGGACACCACAAACATAGCAATCCACCTCAGCACCTACCTTAGAGATTTCAGGAACTGCAACATTGAGATAACTACTTATTATCATATCAGCTCTGCTATAGGATACCCTTAACATTAGTCTGTATCTCTCCCACTCTTCTAGAAACCACAAAGGCTATGAGGAATATTTTTGATTTCTTTTTTCTTTTTAACAGATGGGACCATCCAGTAAGATCTGATGAAAGAGACCTAGCTTTCACTGCCTCCCCAAACCAATTGTTTGTTCACTGTGAGGGTGACCAAGCACTGCAACAGGTTGTGCAATCTCTCCACAGAGAGGTTGAAAGTCTCTGCCTGTGGAGATACTCAAAACCTGACTAAACATGATCACAGGCAGCCTGCTCTAAGCTGACTCTGCTTGAGCAGAGGGGCTGGACCAGGTGATCTCAAGAGGTCCCTTCCAAACTAGATGATTCTGGGAAAAT